ACAAAAAAAGGGGTACAGATAAATGTCCATTTTGTATCTGTGTATTCAAAGTGGTTAGGATAGATATATAGTTACATTCTCTTAATGAATAGAGGGATTTCTTCTAATGGTGTTTGTAAATAGGATATCAAGTCCGCATCTTGTACAGCAATTAACCACTAGGAAGAATGTATGCAATGTGTTGATTGTTGAAACTATCCTATCAATTTGGTTTTAAACTGTCTCATTGCTATTTGTTTCTCAATAAAATTATGGAAAAAAAAACAAAAAAAAAAAGAAAAAAATATTGTCTACTGACTATGAATATAATGTCATTAACAGCTAATAAAGCAATAAATTGTGGAAGGTAAAGGAAGAAAGATGGATTAGGAAAACCAGCTGACCCAACCAAAGTGGAATGTAGATAAGACTGAAGGTTAATTGGTCTAAAGGACAAGAATTAATGTGTTTTTTTTAAAAAAAGATTTTATGTGTTACATTTGACAAAATTCAACATTCTTTCATGATGAAATTCTAAACAAATTTGATAAAGACTGTTGTTTGCTGCAATAGGGGCCATATATGCTAATCTCAAAGCTAACATCAGTTTTTGCTTTTACTCTAAGATCAGGAAAAAGATGATGCCATAATAAAAAGGCAAAGAACATTCAACATATTATAGCATTAATTATCTTAGTTCATACAATAAAGCTTTAAATTTACAAGATGGGAATCCTATTACTCTCACCAATTCTACTCAAGAAAATGGTTTGTTTTGTTAGGTTATGAGTGAGGCAGCAAGCTAGGAGATGTGACAGGTGTGGTTAATCATCAATGTTGATGGGAATGTAGATAGACAGTGAACCAGGAATTTGGAGCACAAATGAACTTCCTCAGGCAACGTGGAATGCAGCCTTCTCCCTCCTTAGGAGATATAACTACCTGAGTGGCTACTAAGTTCCTCAGCTCAGAGGAAATTATAATGAAAAATAATAATCAGGTTATTTTTAGATCCCTCTTCCTGTAAATGCTACATTTGGAAGAGCTGGGCTACAGAGCCTGAGTAGTAATGGTTATTTTAGCTGCACAGTGCCATCTGTGACAGGTGGCTGCCAAACAAGTAATCCCTATGGCCTGCTTACCTGCAAGTGACTCTAAATGGGGCTATTATGTAGTTACTCACAAGAACCACCCCGCCCCCGCCGGAAATCCAAGACATGCTTTTTAACAATTAAAACTCTCTTGAACTAAAAAAGGAATTAAAGGGCCAGGGAGTTGGCTCAATAGAATAAGCGCTTCCCTGGCAAGTGCAAGGGCCTGAGTTCAATCCCTGGTTCCACCAAATAAAATAAAATAAATAAAAAAGGAATTAATGTATTAACATTATGCTCAAAGGTGCAACTGTATTCCTACAAAGACTCAGGCTTTAAGGAAAGTCACATGGACAGAAAACACTCTTTCAGGCTTTCACAGAAAGCAAATTGTTCAAGCAATGGCCATGACTCATCCACATGACTGACACTGACAAAGGATCTACAAAACGTGGTACAGGGTTTCAGGGTAAATCCTGAGGGGATTTGACTGACATTGTCAGATACAAAAGTTACATTTCTTGTTGTATAGGTCTTGCTTGATCTTGGTCTTAACCATCCAGCAGAAAAGTATAAAAATGAAGTATAAAAAGTAAAGCCATATCAATATGCTGACTTATAAAAGGCTCAAGTCAATAACTTCTGACATTGCCAGTCCTACGGATAACCCACTACTGTTATGGACTACTGGACTATATTGGATTATTTTGCTGAATTCATGCACCTACAATATTTAAATCACAATGGAATACCCATCTCTGACATAACTAAACAAAAAAGGATATATAAATGAAGGACCATTTTCTATCTGTATATAGAGAATAGTTAGGATAGATATACAGCTACGTTCGCTTAATTCAATGAGCAGCAAGTTTTGTCCTAATAGTGTTTGGACAGGACATCATGTCTGCATCTTGTGCTATAAACAACCACTATGAAGACAACAAGATGCAATGTACTAATTATTGAAATTGTCTTACTAATCTTTTATGAAACTATCTCATTGCTATTTGTTACTTAATAAAATTAATTTAAAAAAGACTCAGGCTTATTCTTCTTAAAGGCAGAATAATACTACATTTTAGTATTGTGGTTCTTAAAAATACAACATTTTTAAATCTGTAAATTTGGGGTTGGCGAGATAGTTCAGTGGACTAAGTGCCAGCTTAGGCAAGAGAACAGACTGGGGTTTGATTCCCAACACCATATGACACAACTGGGCCACCCATGGGCACACTGAGCCAGCCATGCAGACCATCTGTGGTGGTGCAGGCCTCTAATCCTAGCTCTGGGGAGGCTGAAAAAGGAAGATCAGTATAATTCTGAGCTGTATAGTGAGATCCTGTACCAGATATATAAAAAAAAATCTCTAAATCTGTTGATGAACATGCAGGCTGCTATGAAGACTTAGTTACTACAAATTATGCTACTATAATCATGGGTATGGATACATCACTGTAGTATGATGTCTTAACTCTTTTGGGAAGATACCAAGAAGAAGAATAGGTGGATTAAATGGAATTTCTATTTTTAGTGCTTTGAGAAATCACACTGATTTAAAAGGGGAGTTGGAGGAAGAGGGAAATTAATTGAGATGTGTACCAATCCCCAACAATGAATGCAATTATTATGTCTACAAACATGTACTACTAACAAAAGCAAATGTATTCATGTGGTTGTACAAATTGGAGTAATATCCAATTCTGAAAAAGGCATTTGATGCACTATGTGCCAAAGGGGATAAAGCAGAGAGTACAGACATTACAGCCAAGAGCCTTAGCTTCAGGTTTCAGGAAGTAATATGATACAGAATTGTCAACAAGGTTTCAGATTTAAATACGGAGAATAGGTAGCCAATAATATCCATTACTATAAAGGTATTAATCTTCACAAAATGTTAACGGATTTTTTTTGTTGTTGTTTTCTGGTGGCTCAGGCTGCCTGAAGGCCAGGT